TTATGACAAACGACCTGCAAATGACTGAATACAGCCTTGCGTTTGTCTGCTTACTTCAGGTAGTGCTGAGGCAGCTATGAATGAGACAAAGGCTAAATTTAAATGGAACAACAGATGCTGAGCGACTTTGACAAGCCGCAAACCATTGCAGCAAGCTCTTTTAATGCGTTACTCCTTTTACAGTCAGAATTGTTTAAGATAACTAGAAAATTGTATGCATTTGGGGCAGTTTCTCTTAGTTGAGCTATTTTGAGCACAAAACATAATTTCACTTGTTAGTTGCCATATAATCTGCATTGGGCAGAGTGATTTATGTTTCAAGTACTGATTCTCTACTACATAATAGCTATGCCTACAAATTACCGGTACACCTTGTTGAAAAGTAAAATGATTAGCCAATAAGTCCCTGTTTCTAAATGAAACCAATATCCTGTTTGATTTTTATCCTCTGCTGAAACTAGTGTTTTCATCCAGTTGTTGGAAAATCATATAGTTACAGCTAAAATCTTTAGAGCTTTCTAAAGGATTTGGCAACTGTGTCACTATATTAAAATTTTTCAGGAAGCATAAAGGCCTTAAAAATGATTTTTAAAATTTGATTTTTTTCTAAGTTGCTGTATACATAAGTAGGCTTGACAGATAAAAGAATGGATGCTTGGTTAAATTTGAATTTTAGATAATCAGCAAATTAGTGTTTAGTATAAGTATGACCCATGTATTATATAAGATATACTATAAAATTATTCATTTATCTGAAATTCAAATTGAGCTGTGTTTTTATTTGCTAAATCTGGCAACCTTTTATTGATACAAAATATAAAAAAACAACAAAAGAAATGCAGTGCCAACTATATTTCTCTTAATGTCCATCCATCCATCCCTCCCACATCCCACTGTTTAGTCTTTGGAAAGCTTGCAAAAATCATCTGTGCTTTAATAGGCACATACTAATTTTACTTACACGAACTTTTCCTTCACCTTTTATACAAACACTAGTAATTTAATACATTGCCCTGTACTTTTCTTTTTTTCATTTAACAACATATTTCCACCATGTGATTTTTTTCTGAGACAATATGGAATATACGGGGTAAGTGATAGAAGAATGAGTGTGGGCTTTGAAATCAGGCAGAGTGCGATTCAAATCTAAGTTCTCTGGCTTACTAGCTGTGTGGCCTTGAGTAAGAAAGACCTCAGCCTCTCCTGTGTTGTCTTATCTGGGAAATGAGAGAATGAGGTGCCAGGCGGTGGAGGGTATTGTGGTCAGGGTCTCTGTCCCTATGATGTAATGTGTGCACATGGCGCTTGTGTGGCACTATAGTTGCTCATAGGGACAGAATTCATTGAGTCATTATTGATATGTCTTGCAATTCTGAGTTCCATGATTCCTGAAATAGACTAAGTTCAATTATAACCAAATAATGATATGGCTACAAGCAGAATACATGAGCAGTGGCTAGAAGGGAACCAGTATTTTCTGTACTATTTGAATATGTTTAGTCTCATTGTGTTGAGGGATTTAGTACCTTGAAATAACAGCCATGTTTTTTAATATACTTATGATATTAATCTAAGGACACTTCATTTTTCCTTGGGAATTTTTCTTAAAATCTTGGCGTTTAAAAGTGATTTGCTTAAACATACATGAGAACATTAGATAAATGGTGACTGTGACTGATCTTTCTTTGATAGAGCCACCCCTCGTTTCTAAAATACTTAATCCTGACTTATTCATACTTTGTGTGCATTGTTGGCTGTGTTGCACTGTGGACCCCAGTCCATTTCAGACTGCATTCAGTTTGGTTCCCTAGACTTCATTCACGTTGTGTTCCTAGTTCTTCTGTTCGTTTCTCCTCATGTAGGGCAAGGTTTACACAATTTTTAACTTGGAAAGAGGAAGGAGAAAGGTGAAGTGAAACTCTCGCCTATCGAGAGGCAGTCAGTATATAGTAGAAGTTAAGTTGTTAATTGACTGGAGTCAAGCTGCCTGGGTTCAAATCCTGGCTCCATCACTTAGTAGTGGTATGAATTTGGGCAAGTTACTTAACCTTTCTGTGTCTCAGTTTCCTTGTTTGTAAAATGAGTGGATTGTGTGAAGATTAAAGAACTTAATTGTATAATATGCTTTGAACAGTGCCCGGCATGTGATAGGTGCTGTGTGTTTGCCGTTAATATTACTGTTTCTGCCCTACCATTAATGTCGATTGCTTTGTCGTCGTATCCACATCTCATTTCTTCTGTTGACTGTCCCTCTGATTCATCATCCTCACTGGCAGCGGGAATTGCCCAGAAAAGCATTTAGAACTCGGCATTCTTCTGACATGTATTGGATCTTTTTAAAGTCTTACCCATTGGCCATGCCCCTCAGTATTCACCCACAGATTCTCCTAGTTCCATATAGTGTTGAGATGGGTAAAGAAGGAAGAGTGATGGTTGGGTGGTGACAGTGTGAGAAAGAGAGTTCATGTCTGCAGTTGGATGGAGTAGACACCATATCTCCATCTCAAAAATTCTGTGATCACCAAAAACTTTCTTTGTACTTAGAACTGAATCCTTGGGATAGGGGTATAAGTCATAAAAGGAAACACATTTGTTTTTTTTTTACTTCTTGCCTCTTTGTCATAATTACTTATGGTGAAATCTCCTGGAAGACCTCAAGAAAGCCATTTATTTAAAATGTATATATCAGAGCAGAGAAGATAAACTGTGAAACTAACTTTTTATCACTGAAATCCAGAGAAGTAGAATTCTCATCTGGGAGCTAATGTCAATGACTTGCAGCTGAATTAGCCTTTTTTTTTTTTAATCTTTATGATAAGAGTTTCCCTGGGAGAAAACAAAAATAATTCTATTTCCACATAACTGACTCAGAGGGGAACTCTTGGATGAGTGTTTCTCTCGGTTGGGAGCTGCCTCCTCTGTAGTTTCTCTGCAGACCCCTCCTCAGTCGTTGGGCCTCTAAATCCATAAGCTTCCTCCCCCTCCACGTCACACAATACTGCCCGTCTTCCTGAGTTAATTTTTCATAGAGGAAAGAGGATAGAGCTAAATTTTATTGTGCATACCAGACACTCATGTATATAGTTTTATCCGTTCCACACTTTATGAATATTAGTTATTTGTAATTAGAGATTTTCAGATTAAAAAAAGATAGTGACTTAAGGCCATATGGCGAGTAAGTGGCTGAGCTGAAATTTTAATTCAAGATATCAGACTTCCTGTTCCATGCTCTTTCATTGTTATCATGCTTCCTCCTGGGCGGTTTAATTAAATACACCTATGTAGACCTGGTTTCCTTTTATTAGGGTATTTTACTTTTACTTTTTAATTGTCAGAGTTAATATTTTTTTTTTGGGGGGGGAGGACGTAATTGTATGCTATTTTACAAAAGAATATTATAGTCTCCTTGTCTATAAGAATTTTTTAAAATGTGATTATTTTTAAGATCTCCCTGTACTTTTCCCCATAAAACCATGCAATGCCTGGCATTGGCGTGCTCATCTGTATGGTCTGAGCGTTATTCCTGAATATATACTTTATATTTGTGAGCTGGAAATTGACATATTTGATTTATCTCATTTATCGTAATACTTGTATACCCAGCAAGTAAATGTGTTTTCTAGGAAACTGAGGTTCACATAATAGGCTCCTTGCTCAAGGCCACAGTGCTATGTAGGTTTCAGTTCCAGGTTAGGACCAGTGTCCTCTTGTGGTGACACCAGGCTACTTTTCAAAACAAGTGCCAGTGGTTGAGCTATTTGACTTTGAAATGGCATTGATATTTTAAACAGTATATTCTAAATTTGAGTAAGGAAAGTCAGTAAATTCTATTCTCTATTATTAACCAAATCAAGACACTTTTGAGAGTGAAAGGGGCAGGAAACATAAAAAGCATTAATGGAGTTGCAGCTGACTGCAACATCTGGTCACCCTAGATATAAGGTAATGCGTGTAAGATAACAAAGAGAAACCCAGACTACTCAACTTTATTTTATTTATAGCTTCCAAGTTAAAACAACTATCAATGTTTCCAAGTTGGGGGTGGGGGACAGAATAAAAAAAAAAAGATCTTTCATTTAACATTCTTCAGTTTTTCATCCATGATTTAATATATCATCTTCCAGTGGTTCAAGTACTGCTTGATTGTCACGACCCATTTCTAATTGGTATGTGTGTATTGCCTCCTCAGTTAAGACTGAGCATTCAGGCCAGGATCACATTTTTTTTTTTTAAGATTTTTATTGGGGAATTGGGGGGATGGGAACAGCGCTGGGGAATTGGGGGAAGGGGAACAGACAAGTTGCTGTCCGCTCACTGCGGCTGCTGGCCGCTCATGCTGGCTGCTGGCTGCTGGCTACACACGGCAGCCCATGGCAACCCACCGCCACAGGGACTGCAGCCCAGCTCCAGGCTGAGCTGTTGTTCAGCATCTTAGCTGTGGAGGGCAGTGTCACCGGCCCTCACATGCGGGGTCCGAACCGGGGCCCTCTGGCGTCCCAAGCCAGCCCTCAACCATCGCGCCATTCGGCTGGTCCCAGGATCACATTTTATACTTTTTACATTTTCACTTTTTTTTTTTCCTCCCCCACAGAATTTCTCATGTAGAGTCAAGTAAGCTCCTTACTCTATGGGAAAGGATCTGTAATGCAAAGTGAAGCCAAGATTATAGATTATAGGGGTCTGTGTTGAGGAGCTCTTAAAGAAATATTTTGGATATGTCTGCCATCTTATTTAAAAGAGATTTCATGCTTTTTACCTTATGGAAGTATTATCCATAAAGATAAGATAATTTTGAATTAGTCCTAAACTGATGACTTTCTTCTGCCTATAAAGAAAACTATCTTAAACCAACAAGATTTTAATGGTCAAAAGAATTGTAGTCGTATCAAGTGCTTTTTAGAGTATATAGTTTTAGAATATTTTAAAGTTCTGATAAAACATAACCATTCTGTTTTATTTCTTTTCTTCCAAGTTTTAATTGCTGTTTATTGTCATTGTAGAGGAGAACACTGAACTTTGGGAAACAATGTTAGAAACTATAGGTAAGACCCTGTATCTTTCTATTTTTATAAGAATTGAATCACCGTCCATTGGGATCTTTGCAGTGTGGTATTTTCTAAATAGCAGGATTCTGTCTATAGTAACATAGGTTTAAATAAAGTTTTTATCAACTAGCATTATACTAGGTAATGTGTTATTTGGACAATTTCATGTGAATGTTATAAAAAACATCATTTATAAGCGTAAGTTAAAAGCATGTTTTGCCAATTATGTGTTTTAATAAAGCTTAATGTCAACCCAGTCCTGATTTATGAACCCATTTCTGGCTAATGTTTGTTTCTGGATAGCATCATAAAGTTCAAAAGTTTTTTGTGTGTGTTTTTTTTTTTTAATACTAAAAGAAGATCGTTACCTACGTCATTCATACTTTCACTTTATCTGTGGCAGGTGAAATGCTGCTGAGCGCTTGGTTTTAAGTTGGCAACGATAACAGTAACAAAAACCGAGGCTGACAAACTTCCGTGATGATTTAAGGCAGTTTAGTTTTTACATGAGATAATTTAAGTGGAAATAGTCAAATTTCCCAAGTGCACGTTTATCTTTGTTTCACGCTACTCTTTAGTTTTAGAGAAGCGAGTCTGTAGAACTGGTTTCAGGTGTATCGGGTATATCAGGTATGGTACGCCCCATCCCTCTGTCCCTCATCTGACGCCACAGTCCTCCCCTATTCAGGGAACTTCTCGGGTATTATTATTGGGAGGTATCTGAATCTCTCTCTGCCACCTTGATGAGTGCAGCTGGTGTCTTGACAGCTGCAGGTTTTGAGGGGTAGGGTGAGAGTGGGTGGCAGGAAAAGGAGGAGCTGTTTTGTGAACATGGGGTCATTACTGTGACTTGTTCCCGGTACTGTGCTGGGAATGAAAATGCATGGGTGTCCATTTTCTTCATCACCCATTTTAGACAGAAGTCCCACGCCATAAAGACTACAAGTCTGCATAGAAAACTTCCTCATAAGAAAGTGGAAAGCAAAGGGGAAATATAAGATTATTTAAATCATTACTTTCTAACCATTATTCTGTAAGTTTTTACTGAGTTGTGTGCCTTACAAGACTTGACAAGGGAATTAATACTCGATTTGTATTCTGAGATACCATGGGAAATATGACCCGGAATGAGGTTCTCATGAATAGCTTTATCATCATTTGCTTTTAAAATTCTGCATATGAATAAATAGTGTTTGTTTAAATTTATTGTGTTTGCAGACTCATGGTCAACATTAATTAATGCTTTAATTTCCCAATTTCTGTGAAATTCCACACTTAATGTTATAGAAAGTATCTCTGGTGATAATTCCCACTCTTTGATTACTATGATATGGCAAATATATTTTAATAGGTAAATGTGTTACCATCATGAATCTGTTACAACACATATCTGAACAGTCTTTATTTAAAAAAAAATAAGTTTGGCTTCACGTATAAGTAAAAGAGAGAGAGAGAGAGTTCTAGGGAGATGTTTTAAATTATTATTTCTAGTAAAAACTCACTAACTTAGAACATGAATGTAAGATGCTAGGCTTAATATTATTACTATTATTATTTATGTGTTATATTATTACATATTATTATGATTATTCAAAATATTTATTTTGCAACTTTGTGCCTGATACATAAAGTGATCAATTAGTATTTGAATTATATTAATTTTAAATTATGTATATGTAAATTTGCTATTTACATTTTGGGAAAAACACGAAGTATTAAGTCATGTTTTTGAAGGGTTGTATATTACTGTGATGCATTTTCAATTCTAAAGTGTAGAATAGTTTGCTCCTTAATATATGAAATTGTCATATTTTGGGTGTTATGATATCACCTTCCTTTAGTTGTGTTATATTTCTCATTTTTCTTATATATAAATAAATTTTTTTAAGGTGAAAATACCAGCATTTGCAAGATCACAGTGTTTGGTCTTCAATAGTTTTTATTATCAAGTTGAAATAGCTGGCCTTGTTGCTCAAATATACTTCATCTGAATTACTTTCAGTACTTTACAATTAGTTGCATGTAGTGTACACTATAACCAGTTCCCTGCTTTCAAGCAAACTTTCTTACAAGAGACTTCAAGGCTTGAGGGACATATTTAGAGGGATATGTTACAATCCCTCTTTTCTCCCCCCCCTCCCCCCATCAATTTTATGCTCTTGAAAGGAATAGTTTCGGGTTTCTGTAAGTGTGGTTTGATATGTGCACTTGATTCCTGTTATTGACTGATGCTGCTGTTTGGTACAGACAAAAATCGGGCCCTGCAGGCAGCAGAGCGCTTGCAAGGCAAGCTGCGAGAACGTGGGGATGTGGCAAACGAAGACAAGCTGAACCTTCTCAAGTCAGTCTTGCAGAGCCCACTCTTCAGTCAGATTCTGAGCCTGCAGGCTTCGGTACAGCAGCTGAAAGAACAGGTATGGTATCATTCACCTAAAGCAGGAATTCACAGCATGGCGTGGATCTTGGATTTCTGTATATGTTAGTTAATGAAGTCGTTTCAACCTCCAAAGAAGACATTCAGAATCACTGTGGCTCCCCCCTCCCCCACCCCAGTTATTTCTGTAGTGGTTGTTGCTATATATTGTAGATGATATGACACTGTGTTGAAAGCTGAAGAAGGAGCCCCTACAGGAGAAGGGGATGAGAAAAATAGGTGTAGGGTGGATGGCTGAGGACTTGGTTTCCATCGTCACGGAGGCTCATTGTTCATGGGATTTTGCTCATTCAGATTCAGACATTCGGTACACTCACGAGATTTCAGATGAGCCTGGATTTGCATGTGTAATTGTGTGTGAGGAAGGGAAATCACCTCTGTTTTGACAGTCAAAGAAATAATTACATTGTCATCAGTTAGAGGAATTGCAATTCTCACTTCTTAAAGCAGTGTAAGTAGCAATTGCTTCCATGACAGCATCAGATGGTGATAAGCGTTAGAACTTCCAAATGTAACACTGTGGGTTTTTTTCTTTAAACATTATAAGCATTAAGAAGTCCTAGCATTGATATCAAAACTGAAACATATCACAATGACAGAATGAAAACTGAAGTCACATGTCCTTTCAGCTGACCTAATGTAAAAACCATTTCTCAAGTTTAAAAAATGTATTTTTAAAATCGTTGTTATCCTCACAAGGTTTGAAGTCAATCTAGGCCTACAGTCCAAATTAACTCCCATTTTAATACTTTTAGCATTAATTTAATGGTTATGGGTTACTTGCTAATAAATATTCTGCCTTAAAAGGTTAAAAATGAAACTTGAAGACTAGTTTTGTAATTCAGTGAAAGAACAGCTCCAATTTAAAAAAGCCTCAAAAATGTGCCAAATGCAAAAAAGAACAAATAGTAGCAATAGAAGGAATTTGTTTAATGTCATGTAACTCCTTAGTCTAGATATTTTGGTAGCCAAAAAATTAAATAAACAATCTTTGAAAATATTTTTCTCTAGTGAAATTCTGCTTAATGATTTTAAAGGTCGTGACCATGAGTTAAGAAAAAGAGATATTTGTTGTTGTTATATGTAGTTGTATTTGTGCCCTTTGCAAGTTATTGCAAGTATTGGTTGGAAGTACTCATTTTCAGAAAGGATTGGCAGGGTTTTGGAGAAACCAATATCCTGAATATAAGTGTAATTATGGATGTGGAAAATTATTGGGTTTTTCAGAAAGTGTGAAGAAGTTGAACAGATGTTCTCTCCTTATTGTATTATGAAGATATGATTAGAATGAGAGGAAAAGTTGAAACAAAAAGTACTAGTAAGTATGTCAGGAAATACCACTAGTCCAGTGAGATAACTGTCAAAATTTCCTTTCTAGCCAGCCTTACGTAAGGACAATAGCCTTTGTACTTCCCACGTCTGCTGAAGGGAGGGGAGAAATAGGCCTACTTGTTGTTGAGCTTGTTTTACTATTTCCAAGTGGAAGTAGGATATGAGCTCTAAAACTGTTTGTACTCCACGTGACTCAGCTGAAACCTGCTTGGAAATCGATTGAGCATAATATCGAGTTTCATAGTTTCTAAGTAGTGATGTTATTGATACATTAATGATAGACACTGATATATTTCAGGACTAAGTAAGCTGTGAGGTTTGTGAATTCTGCAGGCATATCTTACATGCCTTTGGACTTTTTGGCTCTTTGATCACCTGTTCAAGTACTGAAAGAGACCAAGCAAACCATCCAGCCCACTTTCTGTTATTACAGTAGCTTACAGAGGTTGAGCAACTGGAACTAGAACTCTGTTTTGTTGGCCTCGCAAGGCATAGCCCTTTTCCTTTTTTGATACTACAGCCTTTCTCACATCATTTTTTTCCCCCAAGGGTGAAAATGTGGTCCCTAAATGCTAAGAGTTTAGTTTCTGTTAAAATCACTGATAACTTCTCAGTTTTTGTGACTCTTCACTTTAGTCTCCATTCTTTTACTAATTCAATTTCATCTGTTTATTGAACCAGATTTTTTTTTGTATGACTAAAGTAAAACTTCAAAAGCTTATATTGTTTTCTGTTTTAAAGTTTAAACATAAATGTTCTAGACTTTATCATGTTAAAAATTATCTGTATAGTTTATTAATTGCTAATTTATTAGTATTTATAATTTAATATTTAATTAATGCACCTAAGGCATGCCATTTGTTTTGTGCTTTTAAACCAGTAGCTACAGAAATCTGAACAGTGGCAAGATTTTTTTTTATTACCTTGTACCTAAATTATGTTTTCAGATGTCTAATTTTATATGCATGATAGGTGCAAGTTACTGGCTCCATATTTTTTGGTATTCGTGGTAAATTTGACCCTTCCAGTTTTTCTGTGCCATCATTCCCTTAATTAAAAAGCAAAGGGAGTGAATAAATAGCTCAAGGTGTATGCATATTGAAGAACACGATCATATCGTTGCTTTAATGACAGATGCTGACATGCCATGTTGAAATAAGCTGACTTTTCCCCTCAGATCCTTCTCATTATTTCTTTTCAATAATGTGTGATTTTTTTTCTGTTGGGTTGTTGGAAAAGTCATGACGTATTTTTTCTATGTTTTTCGTTGCAAAAATGCCTCATGACTTTTCCGACAACCCAATAATTTGCTTCTTCAGTATTAAGACTGCCCTCAGAAATCAAACTGTTTCCCTTTGGCAAATTAAACACTTGACAGGTGTGTAACTGAGAGGGCAAAGAAAAGCCATGCCCTGAAGGGATGTGCTATTTAAATATTGTCAAAAATATTAACAGGTCTGAGAGTGTAATTGATGCCTCTGTTTAACTCTGCCACATTGTGTATTGTTCTAACCGCCAGCTAAAAGGATGTGTGCTATTAAACCTGAATAATCTCTAATAGCTCCAGTTCATTTCCTATTGCATGATTCCTGTTAAAGGGAAGAAGAAAAAAAAGAAATGTGACTGTGTGTCAATGATCTGTCAAATGCAAAATCTCAAGTAGTGTCCTCACTGTCACCTAGTCATCACAGCTAATAACTGCAGGGCTCCATGCATATTCATGACAAAAATCCAGCTATTAAGGGGGAAATAAACACGTTAGCCATTTGATAATAGAAATTTGTCAGCCATGAGGAAATTGGATTTGCATATTTATTCTGTGACGTTTCTCCAGTCCAGTGCAGGTGTATGCTACTTTCCTCATTAATTAATTGCTTTCCTTGTGAGTTGACCACAGACACTAAATGAAACATTTTTTTTTACCCTGAGGTATTTGTAGGAAAACAGTAAATTAACTTTATTAATTTCAATAAAAATTTAGAACTGATACTAAAAATTGACATTGCTGATTTTTTTTAAAAGCTATGGCATCAGAGACCAATTCTAAGATTGAAGAAATGATGTGGGCAATTCAGGTTACAAGAGCTGCTGATATGGGAAACAAACCCTGGGCCACAGAAAATTCTAGAGGATTCTCCTTGTCAGTGATTTCCAGACTTTTTGGAGTGTGACGCTCTATAATTATGTTGTTGCTATTTTTTTATATTTCTAGGATCCTAGTTCATTCATCTTTGTCCCAGGAAGGTGTTGACTTATATATATATATATATATATCATCTAGATGTACTTTACACACACACAGCACACACACATGCACGTTGCACGCACATACACATGCACACACATGCACACACACACAAAAATTAAACTAGATTTTTCTAAGTTTTTCCTTGGAAATTTAGGACATCTCTTGAAATAATTGGAGAGATACTAGATACTGACTTAACATAGAATCAAGTTGGAAATGTTTGTTCAGTGTCAATGAGAGTAATTACATCCTTCTTTTTCGTTTTTGGTCTTGAAATATGGTCTTCGTGATGTAAAATTTGGGTTTATATTTCTGTGTTTCTAAGTTTTACCTTTCATATCCCAAAATGAATCTGGAGCAACTTCAGATGGAAAAACATATAGACTAATGGGTGATTCAAATGTGTATCTAAACAAAGACCGAATAAAAATATCAGACTACTAGATATTTCAAGGACCTTGGGTTACTAAAATTGAGTATATCATTTAATTTCCATTTCCCAGGAGCAAAGAGAAAACAAAACTAAACAACAACAAAATTGGAGGGTTATATATTGCTCATTGTGAGACATTATTCAGTAAACCAAATTTTCCCATGAAAATGGGAGGGTTATCTCTTGGATTCTTTTATGGAAGGCTCATAATCATTTACTAATAAACCTTTGTTGGACACCTAAAATTAATAAAAACAATAAATAAGGTGAAGGTTCTCACTATCTAGAGGGGAAAATAGAACATATATATTTTTATTTAAGTAGAAAAACAAGAAGGTGGGTGGTATGCGAGGAAGGAATTACTAACTTTGACTAGAAGGAAACTTCACATTGGAGGTAGCATGTAAGATGGGTCTTGAAAAATGAGTAGGAGTTTTCAGCAAAGATGGGAGAAATTACCAGTGTTTACAATGGTATAGAGCAGTTTTTTCTCAATTGGGTGTGATTTTGCATTCTCTCTTCCTAGGGGACATTTGGCAATGAATGTCTGGAGACATTTTTCATTGGGGATGCTACCTGCATGTAATGGGTAGAGCCTAGGGATCCTACCAAACATCCTCAGTGCACAGTAATGGTCCTCCAAAACAGAATTATTGAATTCATAAAGTATGCAGTGCTGAGGTGAGAAACTGTGAAATAGTCACATATAGTCCTGTATTATCAGAGCAATAGAATACGTTTAATGCAGGGTATTGGCAAGACAGGAAACTTTGAAGCCAGTTTGTGAGAAATTGTATTAACTTTATCTTCTAACCATTCTATTAAATAGAATATTTAACAATCTTTTTTTTTTCATTTCTCCACATTTTTTAAATTGCAAAAAAATAACAAAATTAAGGTCAGGGTTTTAATGACAGTTTGATAGATAAGACCCTCAATTATAATTGTAAAATACATTAATTGTTCT